TATAAATATCATGTAATAACGGTCATATCGAATATATAAAAAGAAAAAAAGGCATAGGTTCAACTACAAAATATATAAGGAACAAACAGTATAATACAGAGCTGGGCAGGCCCCAGTAAATAGTAATACTTTATTAGTACTACCAAGTCGTTTATGGGCCCAGTTGGTTAAGGGCCGAGTTGGCAAGGGCCGACTTGGTGTAGGCCTATGGCCGAGTCGGTTATGGGCCGAGTAGGTTAAGGGCACGAGTTGGTGTATGGTGTACGAGTTGGTGTATGGTGTACGAGTAGGTTAAAGGTCGAGTTGACAAGGGCCGAGTTTGTTCATGGGCCGAGTTGGTGATGGGTCGAGTCGGTATGGTCCGAGTTGGTTAGGTTCGAGTTGACCTGCACCCAGCTGCTAGGCCTTAGGCTATGGCAGATTGGTCTCTTGCTGGGCCTTAACAACAGGAGGAGGCAGGCTGTGTGACAGGACCAGTTGCACTCAACACAACTAGAACTAAAGTTTAAGTTTAAGTTTAGACCTTCTTAGGTCTAGGGGCTAGGCCTCATAAACTAGGTGATGATGGCGGCCTAGCTAGGGCCCTAGGCCTGGCCTACCTAGCCTACGGTATGAGTTGAAGACACAATTTCAGCAAACAAAAGCACAACTTACTGTTTTACAGGTCTACCGTATATGCATAATTAATAGCAGCTTTCGCTAATTAAGAATTGCAGTAAAAAAAAAAGAATAATTAAACACTAGGCCTATTCACCATCCCGGAGGTCCCGGCCTGCAGATCAAGTTTCTCCGCTGTCACAATGTTTACACTGTATTGACCAATCAAATGGCAGAATTCTAAATAGGAGTTTGTATAACAGCCAATCACAGGCATTGATTCAAGGGACTGAAACTTTTTTAGCAACTTAATTAAGTTTGGACGTGTTTTACATCAACATTAAATATTAAAAGCAACAATGAAGACTAAATAAACTAAAAATTAAAGGCCACTATGAAGAACAAATAATCTTTAATCTCATCAGGTTTGTTTGTTTATATGTTTTATCGTTTTTTTTTACCACAACAAGGTATCTAATAAAGGTTGATAATTTATTAGAATAAAAGTGTACACTAAAAAAAATTATAACAATGATTTGCTGTAGTAAGTATTTATGTGAAGTGGTTTGTTTGTTTGTAGGTTTTATTGTTTTTTACCACACCGTACATTGAAAATTCAATGGCAACTTAATAATACAAATATAATAAGGAAAAAACAACTAAACACTGGTATATATCAATTACTTATATCAACACTTAAACATTAACAAAACAAAACAAAAGTGTGTGGATGGAAACCAAAATAATTTTTGAAGACAAACTTTAAGACATGGTCACCAGTTAAAATCATAGTTAAATATATGGGAGAAAAAAAACAAGACAAGGTGGATCCAAGGGTATCCAATATTATGTAATTTAAAAGGAAAAAAATGTATATTGTTAATCTAGATTAGAATGCTTAGGTATTAAAAACAAAATAAGGTTCTATATATGTATTTGTTTTTTTTCCTGTGTGGCCTTCACAAACCTGCTTCATCTACATGAAGCAGGTTTTTTTTTCACCTGCAAGTCTAATATAATCAAATTTTGTTATTTTAAGAATATAATAATTTTTCATATGTATGTTTTCTTATGACCATTATGAAATACATGTTACTGAGAGAGATAAAAAAAAAATGTTGACAGGCTTTATAGTACGCCCTTCACACTGTATTATATACTACTAGTACATGTACAGTACTAACTGTATTATTATTATTATTATTATTATTATTATTATTATTATTATTATTATTATTATTATTATTATTATTATTATTATTATTATTATTACTATTATTATTATTATTATTACTATTACTATTATTATTATTATTATTATTATTATTATTATTATTATTATTATACTATCATTTATCATTATGACTGCATGTCTATCCATTTCATCTTTAATCCCTCTCTGCAATATTTTTTTTCAATTCTTCTTTCTAATTACTCTTTTTGTAAAACTTTTTTGGAGAGATATGCATTGGCCCAAAATGAAATAAATAAATCCCTATTCCATTGAAAACTTAATGGTCATTATAAGTATTTTAACCCACTTAGTAGAACTAATTTGCTGCCATGAGTGGCCTACGCCCATGTCTTCAACAAATACCTCTGGCTACCATTTAGTTTTTCTGAGCTGATATGATGCCAAACCTGACAAAAAAAAACAAAGATTATTATATTCTAGTAGGACTAGTTCTAAACCAAAAAGCTTATATTTTGAAAAAAAGGATGAATTAAAAAATAAATATATGAGAATGATTTGTGATATTACAAGCTATTACAAGGTGAAAGATATTAGTATTGACAAGTTGTGTTTTGAAGTAAAAAAAACTTGAAATTAAACAAAATAGTGTATACAGATTAAATTGTAAGATGGAATAGTTAATTGGTACTGGTAGCATACTCATGAGTTAGTATAGTAATGTATAGTATTCATTGTTATCCATTCAATATAAAAACAAAAAATTCATTTAAAAGCACAAAAGCAAAACATTTACAAACAAGACATAATGGATAACAGAGATAACCCTTTAAGCTGGTAGGCTTGTTTCAAAGGGGGTTCCCAAAAAAAAAAACTAGATACAGTAAATATAAATAATATAATCAAGGATTAAACAAAAATGTAAATGTATAACATTTTTTTATGTACAATATTTAAATGTACAGAATTTTAAATTTTACAACAGAATACTGAAAATATATGGAAATATAATTATTATATATTTTAAAAATATTTTTTTAATTATCATTATTACAAAAAAATTAAAAAATAGAAATATTGTTTTATATTTACAAAGTTACAAAATTATTATTTACAGGGAACAGTGAATATTTATCATTATATACACATTTTAAATTTTACAAAAATACTGAAAATATAACAAAGTATAATAATTACAAATTACAAAACTTTGTTTAATTATTATTATTATTATTACAAAAATATTTTTAAAAACACAAATATTGTTTATGATTTACAAAGTAATCATTATTTATTATTAAATACAATTATTAATTATAGGACATTTAATAACTTATTTCATTAAATTGATGAGTACTGCTTTTCATATATTATATCAACATCAGATTTTATTTGAGAGGCAAGTCATTTTCTTAGAGAGTGTTTAAATAGTAATCAAAATGTTATTGCATTTAGACTTGTGGTCAATATAT